AGGGCAGTGTCACTGGCCCTCATATGTGGGATCCGAACCGGGGCCCTCTGGCGTCCCAAGCCAGTTCTTAACCATCGCGCCACTCGGCTGGCCCAGCATTTCATTCTTACAACTAACCCCATGAGGTAAGCATTATTACAGCCACTTGACCAGTGAGGAAATTGAAGCTCAGAATGTTGGAGTGACTTGTTCAAGATAGCAAGTTAGTGAGCAGCAAATCTAACTCAGGTCTATCTCAACTGAATCATGCTTTTCTAAGTAAACATGCTTTTCTTTTTATAGATTCATAGGGCAAAATATTCGGTGTATGGATAAAAGCTTTAGTTGTTCATAAAAAAAGAACACCAATTTATTTAACCTGAATTGCTATTGATGTCCCTAGAGGCAAATATGGTATAGCTTTTTTTGGATAACTGTTGATTATTTACAGCCTTGGAGCTACAAAGATTTGTTTTAAAAATGTGATTACTGTCCTCAGAAATTGTACAGACCAGTAGAGAAACAAAAATGCAAACAAAGGATTAGTATTTAACATGATAACTGTTACAATGATCACATATTCAAAATAAATGTAGATCATGGAAGAGGAAGTCCCTACTGGAAAGGGGATTGGAGAAAGATTCACGGAGGGTATAGTTTTAGCACAAGATGCTGGCTTAGGACAAATAGGAGTTTGCCAGGCAGATAGTCTGTGTGAGGACATTCCAGACAGAGAGGACAGTCTGTGAAAGAGCAGGGAAGTTTAAGAGAGCCCTGGGAATTATGAGTAGTTCAGTATTAATGGCTTGTGGAATGTAAAGATAAGAGTACCAGAAAATGCATCCCTACGGGAAAGTAAGTGCTCAAGCCTTCTAAAAACGTTTAGCTTTCATTTTTTTAGGATAAAAATAATAATTATGTAGCAATGTGATATCACCAAATAAGAGATGATATGAAAACATAGAGGTCCAAGAGTAATTAATATTTGAAATATTCATGTCTACAAAAGATTGGAGATGGCCTAAATGTCCACCAAGAGAGGATTGGTTCAATAAATGTATATTCATGAATGAAAAATCATGCAGCTATTTAAAAAGAATGAGGCAAATTTATAGTGTCCTAGATCAGGTTCTCTAGAAAGCAAAGCTAATAATTTATTTAGAAGGTACAAGCTCGGGATGATGAGGGTGAGGCAAAAGGGAGGTGAGTCAAGAGGAGGTACAACGCGATGTCACGTATTACCAGATCAATGACTAGATCAATGAATTGAAAAGAGATAGCATTTCACTCAGCAGACAGGTTACAAGTAGGAACCATCTCAGAGTAATCCACAGAGCAGAAAAAGGAGGGAGAAGTCAACTGCTTTGTTCCTTTTGTTTCTGC